AGTTAAATTAATTCTATTTCCAAATTTGTGTCATAAAGGCACAGCATGAAAGAGCAGATAATTGTGCACTGAGGGCTGAAAATGATAAAATCAGATGTGAGAACATAGCCATTAGAGAAGCTTTGAAGAATGTCATCTGCCCCTCTTGTGGTGGGCCCCCTCTCTCCGAAGACCCTTACTTTGATGAGCAAAAATTGCGCATGGAAAATGCCCAGTTGAAAGAAGAGGTGAGGTCCCTAATTCCCCATCACATTTCATTTATTCATACATTTATTAACATAATTATATATACATTTTTTTTTTTTTAATTGATTTTAATTTTCTTTCTTTTTCTGGGGCAGTTGGATAGAGTTTCTAGTATAGCTGCAAAGTACATAGGAAGGCCAATCTCACAGCTTCCACCTGTCCAACCCATCCACATATCCTCCTTGGATTTGTCCATGTCCAGCTTCGGCCACGGGCCCTCCCTCGACCTCGACCTTCTTCCCGGTAACTCCATGAGCGTAATCCCCAATCTACCCTTCCCTCCCACCGCCATTTCCGACGTCGACAAGTCACTCATGGCTGACGTGGCTGCCGGTGCCATGGAGGAGCTCGTTCGCCTCGTCCAAGCAAACGAGCCGTTTTGGATGAAGTCGGGTGGCTCGGATGGACGTGAAGTTCTTAATCTTGAAAATTACGAGAGGGCTTTTCCGAAGCCTAATGGCCACTTGAAGAACCCTAATGTGAGGAGTGAGGCTTCGAGGGACTCGGGAGTTGTGATCATGAACGGGTTGGCGTTGGTCGATATGTTTATGGACTCGGTTAGTATCATTTTTTTTTTTTCGCTTATGTACGAGTCGAGTTCTTGAATTAAAAAGTTTTATTGAATTGGTTATTTTTTGTTTATAGAGTAAATGGGTGGAATTGTTTCCTACAATTGTGTCAAGAGCAAGGACTGTTGAAGTCATATCATTATCTACTGGAATGCTTGGAACACAAAATGGCACATTGCAATTGGTAATTGAACTTTAATTATATGTTTCTAAATCATTCATTTTCATCCAAGTTATAATTTTTTTTTTTAGATTTGTATGAATGATTTGAATTCTTGTGCCAGATGTATGCAGAGTTGCAGGTCCTTTCAGCACTAGTGCCAACTAGGCAATTCTATTTTCTCAGATTCAGACAGCAAATCGAGCAAGGCTCGTGGGCCATTGTCGATGTCTCCTACGATATTCCTCATCAAGACGAGCAATTTTCGTCACCTTGTAAAGTCAACCGGCTGCCTTCCGGATGCTTGATTCAAGACATGCCGAATGGGTACTCAAAGGTACAATTATTCTAAGCATATATATATGTATGATATGTTTACATGACTTGTTAGTCTTAATAACAAACCTTTTTAGGTCACGTGGGTCGAACATTGGGAAGTAGAGGACAAGGCACCGATCCACCGGCTTTACCGTGACCTCATCCACACCGGATTAGCCTTTGGAGCCGAAAGATGGCTCTCGACTCTCCAAAGGATGTGCGAACGAGTCGCGTGCCTTTTGGTCACTGGAAATTCAACTCGTGATCTCGGTGGAGGTAACTAAGATATATATCTCGAATTTTAGCAAGATATATCCGTACAACTGTTGTTTTTTTTCTTTTTTTACGAAATTTCACATTTTTTTGGATTAGTTATACCGTCGCCCGAAGGCAAAAGGAGCATGATGAAGCTTGCACAGAGAATGGTGAACAATTTCTGCTCGAGTATTAATCCATCCAACGGTCAGCAATGGACCACATTATCCGGTGGTGGTCTTAACGAATTCGAAGTACGAGCAACTCTTCACCGGAGCTCCGATCCCGGCCAGCCGAACGGTGTTGTGCTTAGCGCTGCCGCCACAATTTGGCTCCCAATTTCCCACGAAAACGTGTTTAATTTTTTCAGGGACGAGCGTACTCGGCCTCAGGTGAATATTTTCGCAAATCATTTTCTCAAAATTACGTTGTATTTGCTTACGGTTATAACTGTCGAAAAATTTTTTCGCAGTGGGATGTGCTTTCGAACCAAAATCCCGTGCAAGAAGTTGCTCATATTGCCAACGGATCTCATCCGGGAAACTGCATTTCGGTCCTCCGGGTAAAACAAAATTAACCGACTTTTTTTTCGCTTATCGTGTACTAATAAACGTGCTTAATTCGATCGATTTTTTTTAACAGGCGTTTAACACGAGCCAAAACAATATGTTGATCCTTCAAGAGAGCTGCATCGACTCGTCTGGCTCAATTGTCGTCTACTGTCCGGTCGACCTTCCGGCGATCAACATTGCTATGAGCGGCGAGGACCCTTCGTACATCCCGTTGCTTCCCTCCGGTTTTACTATCTCGCCAGATGGACGTGGGCCCCACATTGTAGGCCAGCTGGGCAGTGCTGACGTGGCGTCGACAAGCTCGAATGTGGTCGATGGGTCGTTGATTACTGTCGTGTTTCAGATCCTAGTGAGCAGCCTGCCGACGGCTCGGATGAGCCCCGAGACGGTTACGACGGTCAATAACTTGATTGGGAACACGGTGCACCAGATAAAGGCTGCATTGAACTGTGCGGGGTCGTGATTTAACGGGCTATTTGAAATTATTTTATTGGGAAAGTATGGAGAAGGGTAAAAAGGGAAATGTGTTGTGAGGAAGTGGGAAAGATTGTTAGTTGGGGGAGTTGAATGCTGCAGTTAAAGTCCCATCATCAATGGTTGAGGCTGACTTATTGATGCTGTGTTTGCTGCTGCTGCAGATGCTGCTGCCTGTTTTTGCTGTCAAGGGGCTCATTTAAATTGCACAGCAACTTTCTTTTTTTTTTTTTTTTTTTTTTTTTT